TTTATATTTATATAAAAGTATATATATATTTTTTTTTAATTTGCCAGAGAACATATGTACTTGCCAGAGGACCACAGAGACAGGAAAAGAGAGAAAGAGGGGGAGAGAGAGAGAGAGAGGAAGAAAGAAAATGAGAAATCGCCCCTTATTGGTAATGGTCATGCAGCAATCCCTTCTCCATTTGTCCTTCTGTTGGGGTTTTGGGCACGCATTCAAATGCATCTGATGTGATTTTCAAGCTGCTAGGTCTAGGACTCAAACAGTGCAGTCAGTCATGTGGGCTTCAGCTCACATAATCACCAGAACATGGACTGGCCCCCCTGTTTTCAATTAATTAAAAAATGATTTTTTCTATTTTAAATTGGATTTCCTGGTCCTACAATTCTCTATTCTTCATTATTTAGCAAAACCTTTCATTTCAGCGGTATTCATAATAACATGTTGTTACAGCTCAATTTTATTTTATTACTTCATTTTTAATTTGCCAGAGGATGCATGTGTTTGCCAGAGATAGAGAGAGAAGAGAGAACATGAAAAAGAACCTTCCATGGGGGATGGTCACATCTCAACCTCTTCTTCTGCATTTCTCCTTTCTTTTGGGATTTTGGGCAGGTACACAGAAGCAACCAGCATGTTTTTCAATCTACCAGGCGGAGGACTCAAATACTGGCCACATGAAATGATCCAGCCATCTTAACCACCACCCCACTGGCTGGCCCTTAGCTCTATTCTATATTCACTAATTACTTTCTTTTTTCTGCTTTTTAAAACATTTCTATTATTTTTGAAATGTAATACGCATGTAGAAAATAATAAAACCTAAATACGAAGTAAGAGGAAAAAATTGTAATATTAACACTCACATTATCTCATTTTAGTTGAAAAATAGAATTTGTCATTAATGCCAACACTCCCCATATATTTCTTCCTGATGATATCATTCCCATCCCTCTCCTTCCTCTCTACTATGCCAATTGTTATGATAATCATTAATTTGCTTTGCTTTAGAGTTTCATAGTCAATGTAATTAATTTTTAAAACTATAATTTCATTATTTTTGACATTTAGATAATTGGGGTTGTACTAATTTTTTTATAATATCTTGATACTTTCTTCAATTTTCTACATTTATCATTATCAATGGAGCTCCAATTCATTCTTTTTTTGTTATATAGATTAACTGTAAATTATATAGCTTTAGTTTGTTCATTTTCATTACTGTACAATATTCTATGATTTAAGTATGTTATGTCTCTTCTTTTAAGAATTATTTTATTTAATTTTATTCATTGTCACGATCTTTTTTTTTTTTTTTTTTAAGTTGACCAGAGAGAAACAGAGAAAGAAGGAAAGTGAGGAAACAAGCTTCCAGGTTCAGGACTTGAACTGTGGTCAGTCACGTGGGAATCCAGCCACCATAACCACCACACCTGCCAGCCCCTAATGTGTCCTAATGTGTATATTTATTGCTGATAGATATTTGGGTGGTTTTTAAGTTTCAGCACCTAAGAACAATAATGATGTGCAGGTTCTTGTAAATATTTTCTGATAAACATTTATCAAAGGTTCTCCAGGATTTGAAAATAGCACTGCAAATACTTAACGTCTTAGAACAGGCATCTTCACCTTAATCAGAAAATGCCAAATTGCTAATCAAGAAGTTGTACCCATTATAATCCTGGAACCAATAGAATAAAATTCCTACTGATTTTTCAAATTAATAATATCTAGTTAATCGAATATTAATTGCACTTAATTAAAATATAATTGCACTTAATTATGCCTAACATTTTATCATTCTTTTTCCTATTCTATTGGGAATGTATCTTTGGGGCCAGCAGGTGGCATAGTGGTTAAGGGGTTGTACTCCCAGGACCAGCAGTTGGCGTAATGGCTATGTCACTGGACTCCCATGTAGTCGACTGTGGTTCGAGTCCCAGACCCAGTGACTTAAACTCACACTGGGCGCATGTGCTTGCATGCCCAAGATCCAGAGAGGAAAATGGAGGAGATGAGATTGTGGTGTGGTCATCCACCCCAGGGGATAATTTCTCACTGTCTCTCTGTCTCTCTGTTTCTCTTTCTGGCAAGTGCACACGCCCTATACCAAAAACCTCTCCAAAAAAAAAAAGAAGGAGCTACACTCCCACTTAGTCATCCTCAGTTCAAATCCCAGACCCAGCAGCTTGAAACATACTGGGTGCTAGTGCATGCATGCTCAATATCCTGAGAGGAAAGGGATTGCACCATGGCCATCCTCCCTGGGAGGTGATTTCTTGCTTTCTCACTCTTTATCTCTGTCTCCCTATTGAGCACACATACCCTATAGCAAAAATCTCTCTCTAAAACATAAAGAAATATATCTTTTGTCGAAATAACATTTAATTCTTTTCTATGACTATTATTTTATATGTATTTATTTATATTATATCATGCTATATATATATTTACTCATATCCATTGTAAATTTTTATAATTTTTTTCTTCAAATCTCAAGTATTCTTATCAGAAAGAGTAGAAATGGCAGAATTTCTTTTCTTTTTTTTCTTTGAAAGTATATCCCCATGGAAGATGGTCATGTTGCGATCCCTTCTCCTCCATCTTTCCCTCCTTTTAGAATTCTGGGCACACACACCCATGCACCTAGCATGTTTTTAAATCCACTGATCCAGGATGAGAACCAGTCAGCCATGTGGAATCCAGCTGTCTTAACCACCGTGCCTCTAACCTTATTGGTTAATGGTCATGCAGCAATCCCATGCAACTGGCCCAGAAATACTTTTTAATCAAACATTATGTCAGATGACTTTGAGAAATTATGACTAAGTAACAGCATATTACACAGGAAATTACAGGACTACTTAACAATACCTAAAAGGACCCGAAGAAAGAAATATTGAAATATAAAATCAATCTATTATGTCTTCTATTAATGTATTGTCCCCATAGAAACAAAAAACTGTTTTAAATTTTGTCTATGATGTTAAAGGTGGTGTTTTTGTTGGAGAAAATTTAAAATGACAAAGTAGTCTCAAGAAAGTTTGTCTTAACTTACTGTTTCCCAAAATTATAATAAATGCGTGACCTGAGGGAAAAACTGTTGAAATCACCATGACAAACATCATAGCCTGATACCTCTGTACTTTAAAGAGCATCCAACTTCCTATGAGGGTGGAAGCAAAGTAAATGACAAAGAGGAAGAGAAAGGTTGTCACCATTTTCATAGCCCTCTTATGGGCCTCTGTGCTGGAGTCCTTCGAGCCATTGAGCTGCAAATTCTTGGTGTGTCTTACCAAGGACAAAAGTAATAGGAGCAAAGAAGTCAGGGAGAGAAGAAAAGGGATAATGTAGGTCATGCTGAGAAGAATATGGTTTTTAAAATAGGACATTGTAATCCCATCTAAATGCAGAGTCATGTTTCTCTCATCCACTCTGTAGGCATTCATCCACAACTCACAAACAGGATCCTGCACTGAAAGGCTAACAGGCAGTAACAGCAGAGACCCCAGGAAAAGCACAAGAACCACTCTGTTCATTCTCCACTTCAGCCAAGTGAAAAAGAAGTGGGAGAAATTGGCTATCTTAAACAAGTAGAAAACACTAAGACAGGTGGCAAACCACGTAGTTAAGTGATTCATTAACGCCCAAAGAATAGTAACCAGTTTTGCTAATTTGCCAGTGGCATACAGGTGAGGGAATAGCCCCATTATAAATGAATCAAACAATATTACCCACAGCTGAATGATTCTGGCCATAGACAGGCTGGTGAGGATGAAATCAGCCGATGAGACCTTCCGACTCCTGACCCACTCCATGCAGTTTACCAGTCCAATGAGCCCATTTCCCAGCATCCCTGCTAGGAGTTCTCCTGTTGCCAGTGCCAGAAATGAAATCTTCATTCCAATGGACATTTCTAATGTTGTACATCACCAACAATTTTATAGTCAAACAGTTGTAGATTGATATCCATTTCTAATGTTTTCTCTGTATGTTTCATTGTAATTCCAGAAAATACTGCCCAAATTCTGCTATTGCAATATACTCTCAGAGATCTTTGTGAAAGAATAGTTTGTTCTACTGTAATTTAAGCACTATACCAAATAGTTCTGTTAAAAGATGCAAAGATTCATGAATACTTTTCTTACTAGTTTCTAGAATAAACACTAACAATATCCATTTATTTTTGGTCCCTGCTGCAATTTTCCATTTGTAATAGCAACTGAAAGGATGAAGTCAGGTATATAAATATGCAAGTAGGAGAGATCATTTTCCACTAATTTGTGTATTCCTTTCCTCAGAGTCACAGCATTTCTATGCAAATATCTTAGATTTTGAATAGCAATTGCTAGAAAAATATTTATGTAACTCAGTCATTATTTATCTTTCAGCAAAATCCTTCTGTATATCAAATATTTTGATGCAATATATTTTATAGAAATAATTTAATAAAATTGATTCTAGTTCAAGAAACACACCCAAGTCCTAGAGCAAATAACTTTAAATAGTATGCAGTGTTATAGGAACTACACAGAAGTAATCAAATATGATAGAAATATAGAAGAGAAGATTCAAATGCTATGGGAGAGGTAAATTATGGTTTTATGAAACTAAGACTTATTTTGAATTGGAATTATTTAAAATGTTTGAACAGCTAGATAAAGAACTAGTATTCAAAACTGATGTAACTGTATGTACAAATTACCAAAGTGACATAAATAAGCTACATCCTGCTTTGTAAATATAGGAATGTATTAAATTCTACAATTATTGGTCATTTAAACCTAAATGTACTCTCTAACTTCCATGTTCCAAATTCCATGCTCTACTCTTTTTGCCCAGACACATAGACTGCATTTCCAAGTCTCCCCTACAGATATTTGTGGCAGTGAAATTTGAATAATGTAATGTGAGTGAAAATGATGTACACCATTTTCAGGGCCTGTTCCATAAAAATTTGTCATGCATATTCCACCATAGGCTATCTGGAATGGAGATTACTCCAAGACAATCTTGGAAGCCACAGGTTAAAGATGTTCAGCTTTTCCTTTCCTTTTCAATTTTCTATGGAACATGTTCACACACCAGAGAGAAAGAGAAAAAGGAATAAAGCATCCCCCAATAAAGCATGACCATGCTGAAATTCCTTCTCCTCCATTATTCCATGTTCCTGGGATTTCTGAGCATGCATGCCCATGTGCCTGGTGTGTTTATCAAGCTTCTGGGCCAGGACTTAAACCAAGGGGTCAGAGATGTGGACTCAACTGTCTTAACCACCAGGCCATGCAGTGAGCCACTTTTGATCATCCTGATTCCCAGTATAACCGCATGGAAAAGGTTAACTCAAACACCTCAGTACCTTAAAAGAAGAAAATTAAATTACATTATGTTTGAGTCATTTTGCTTTTTGGAGGACATTTTACTTTTTGTGACAGATACTGGCCTACCCAGGTTAATGCGGAAATTGGAATTGAAATTGGGCAGATTTGTTTAGCAGCATTTGGATGGTGAAGAAACAAATTTCGAAGACTGGAAATATTCAGGCCCAAATGATTCATAGGTAAACTCTTTTAAAACATTACACACAGTAACTTAGAGCCAAGTCATTTCCCTGCCCCTAAGGACTGAAGTTGGTTAAGGCCAAAATAGTGTTTCAGGAATGTACTCAAAAATATTGAGCAAGCTATTACTAGAACAGATAAGAAAAAAAAAAAATTAACTGACTTGCAAGTAGAAATTATAAGACAAAGTGAATTCAAAACTTCGAAGTTTCATAAGGTTGTAAAAATCTTACAGCTTTTGGGAAACCAGCAGTTAGCGTAATGGCTATGTCGCTGGACTCCCACGTAGTCGACCGCGGTTCCTGTCCCGGACCCGGTGGCTTAAAACTCACGCCGGGCGCGTGTGCGTGCGTGCCCAAGATCCCGAGAGGAGAATGGAGGAGAAAGGATTGCGGCGTGACCATCCCCCCTGGGGGGTGATTTCTCGCTTTCTGTCTCTATGTCTTTCTCTGTCTGTCTGGCGAGCGCACGCGCCCTACAGTGAAAATCTCTCCAAAAAAAAAAAAAAATCTTACAGCTTTTGGATATCAACTAGTAATAGGGGGGCCAGCAAGTGGTGTGGTGGTTGAGGGCACTGGACTCTTGCATGGCCAACAGTGGTTCAAGTCCCAAACCTGGTGGCTTGCTTTCTCACTTTCCCTCTCTCTCTCTCTCTAATCAAACTGGAAAAATAATAATAATAATAAAGTTAAATTTTAAAATATTTTAAAAAATAATAAAGGAGCCTGAAAAAAATCCTTAAGTTGCAAAGGGCTGATTTCTCACTTTCTGTCTCTCTCTCTCTCTGGTGAGTGCACACACCTTACAGCAAAAATCTCTTAAAAAAAAAAAAAAGTCGAATTGTTCTAATGGCCATGTTGTTTAGAATGGTCTAAATATTATTTTGAAACTGTTATACATATAGATGCACATAATAATTATGTTAATATGTTGTTAGGGGTCAAGATTTTCAACATGAGAAAAATAAACATAAATTGGAAATAGCGTAAACTCATTTATTTTTAAATATCTATTCTGGTAATGTATGCAGAAAAGGCACATATTAAAGTGTATCAAAGTATCATTACAAGGTCTGCAGGAGATTCAAAGTTAAGTAGACACATACATGTTATGTGGGAGATACTATTTAAAATTTTCTGTGCTATCCCCAAGTTCCTAATTTTTTTTTTGAGAGAGATTTTTGCTATAGGGCGCATGTGTTCGCTGGAAAGACAGAGAGAGACAGAGAGAGAGAGAGTGAGAGAGAAATCACACCCCAAGGGGGAGGGCCATGTCACAAAATCACCCCCCAAGGGGGATGGCCATGTCACAATCCCTTCTCCTCCATTCTCCTCTCAGGATCTTGGGCACGTAAGCACACGCACTCGGCGTGAGTTTAAGCCACCAGGTCTGGGACTCAATCCGTGGTTGACTACATGGGAATCCAGTGAACATAGCCATTACACTAACTGTGGGTCCCTCAAGTTCCTAAATTTTCACCTTTACCACAGAGAAACAGAAGCTGGAAATAATATTTTCCAGAATTCCTGGCCAATTAAATTCCTCCAAAACAAGGATACTTGAAGATAAACTCATTATTTCTTGGGCAGTAGTCTAGACAGACACATAGCCTTCCATGACAAGCACAAGGCTTGCACAGAGGCATTCTCTTAGGAATCACCAACTTTGACCCCTGGTATCAGTAGCTGTAATGGTTAATTTTATGTCAACTTGACTGGGTTAGGAGATACCCAGACAACCATTAACACATTACTTCTGGGGACCAACAGATGACTTAATGGTTATATCACTGAACTCCTACATAGTTGACCACAGTGCAAGCCCCAGACCTGAACGGCTTAAAACTCAAGCCATGCACTTGTGCACACGAGTCCAAAATCTCGAGAGAAGGGATTGTAGCATGGCCATCACCCCCAGGGGCTGGGCGGGACTTCTAGCTTTCTGTCTCTGTCTCTCCAGCGACAGCACATGGCCTATAGCAAAAAAATCACTTATAAATAAAAAAAATAATAAAATAAATAAAATAAAAAACCTACTTCTGAGTGTATCTGCAAGGGTGTTTGTAGAAAAGATGAGCATTGGGATAAGTAAACTGAGTAATATCTGACCTTACCAGTGGGGTGGGTAGTAACCTATCTTCTGAGAGTCTAGATTAAACAAAAAGGCAGAAAAATGGCAAATTCATTCTCTTTCTCAGCCAAAATATCCACCTCGTGTAGTTCTTGAACATCAGAGTTCTTAATTATTTGGCCTCCAGACTTCCAGATTTAACACTACTGGGCTCCGTGGTTCTCAGGACTCTGGGACTTTTCAGCTTTCATAATCACTTGAAGCCAATTCTCATTATATATTAAATAAATTTGCAACAGTCACTTGCATCCTCGATTCAAGTTACTACATTACAGATCTCAAACAAAACCAGTAGAAGATAAATTTATATATATAAAATCTCCCTACAATTCTGGATTTGTAAAAGCAGACTTTCAGATGAAGTCTCCCTTCCCCTACAGCCTTATGTAGCTTCTACTTTCCAGATTTAACTTTTTCCAATTCAGAATACCTAAAATATCCTGTTTTATATCTAATCTAGTCTGAGGAGTTTCTTTAAAAGAAAAAATAGCACACTTCTTTTGTAAATCGCTTTATTGAAACATAATTTATATAAGTTATTTTAAAATATTTCATTTCAAATGTATAGTCTGGTTGCTTTTGATAAATTTATACAATAGATTATCCACCACAATCAAGTATAGAATACCTTCAGCATCTGAAAACTTTTTTTGACCCCTTTCCAGGGTATTCAAGCTCATGCCTTGATCATCACTGAGCTGTTTTCTATCACTACATTTTTCTCTTTCTAGAATACTATACAAATGGCATCTTATGTTTTTGTCTGTATTCTTCCACTTAGCAAAATACTTTTTAGATTCATCTATGTCGTTCTGTGTAAAAGCTTTTTTTTTTTTTTTTCATTGCTGAGTAGTATTTAATTGTATAGATTCTCTTGGGAGTCTGCCAGGTCTAACTTTATTCACAAAAAATTAACAAGTTTGTATTCAAAAAGTCTGTACCACTCTGTATCTCCACCAATAATTTATAAGGATTCCATTTGCCCCATAACCTCAGCAACAATATTGTCAGTCTCTGCCATTTTCTTTTTCCATCTCTCCCTTTTTCTCATTCATTTTTGTTTATGCTTCCATGTGGGTGATTTCAATCAATTTGCCTTCAATTTCATGGGATTGTCTCTATTCTGCTCAGTCTTGATAAACTGCCAACGAAATCTTTTACCTCAACACTCAGTTTTTCGTTCCTAGCATTTTCATTTGTTTATATAGTTCCCATCATTTTAC